GAGGAGGAGGAGAGGGAGGAGAAGAAGGAGGAAATGGAGAAGGAGTAGATGGAGAAGGAGAGGAGAAAGGAGGGGGAGGAGGAGGAAGAGGATGAGAAGAAGGAGGAAGGGAAAGAGGAAGAGAAGGAGGAGGAGGAGAATGGAGGAGAAGGAGGAGATGTAGGGCAGATGATGATAAGGAAAGGATGAAGAGGAGAGATGAGGAGGAGGAGGAGGAGATGGATGAGGAGGAGGAAGTGAGAGATGAGGAGGAGGAGGAGGAGAAGGTGAAGGAGGAGGAGGCGGAGATGGAGTAGGAGGAGGCGGAGATGGAGTAGGAGGAGGAGGAGGAGGAAATGGTGGAAGAGGAGGATGACAAGGAGTAGCAAGAGATGGAGGAGGAGGAGATAGAAGAGAGATGATGATGTTGATGATGAGGAGGAGGAGAGGTGGAGTAGGAGGAGAAGGAGGGGGAGGAGGAGGAGGAAGAGGAGGAGGAGGAGAAGAGATAAGGAGGAGGAGGAGCAGGAGGAGGAGGAGAGGGAAGAGAAGGACTAGGAGATGGTGGAGGATCATGTGGAGATGGAGGACATGGAGGAGGAGGAGGAGGAGGAGGAGGAGAGGAAGGAGGAAGAGGAGATGGAGGAAGAGGAGAAGGAGAGGGAGGAGGAGGAGGAGGAGGAGGAGGAGGAGGAGGGGATAGTAAAGGAAGAGATGGAGAAGGAGGTGGATGTAGAGGTGGAAGAGGAGCAAGATGGCGCCCTGCCTTATGCCTGCCTGCTGGGTCCCCACCCCTAACGTCCTCAGCCACACACCTCTTTAGGGTAGGACGGTCCCTGCAGAAGCCTAATCGTGATTGACGTCATCTCCTGGCAGGTGGCAAAGGCATGGGCGGCTGGGAAGGGGGCATCCGAGTGCCCGGGATCTTCCGGTGGCCCGGGGTGCTGCCCGCCGGCCGTGTGATCCAGGAGCCCACCAGCCTGATGGACGTGTTCCCCACCGTGGTCCAGCTGGGGGGCGGCCAGGTGCCCCAGGACAGGTCCGTGTTCACAAGGTCGTCTTCCCTCCCTCCTATGAGCCCCCCGTCGCTCCCAGTTCAGGGCTGGAAATGCCACCATCACGTTTCTATCTGCTGTCTAGCAACATCCCTGCATCTTCCATCTGTGTGTCTAACATTGATTATCGGTTCATTGTCGACATCCGTCAATCTGTCTACTGAAGACATTTATTTTAAAGAACTGGCTCACGGGCTTGTGACAGCCAGTAGTAAATCCAAAATTCTGGCACTCAGCGAGCAGATTGCACCCCTGGACATTATTTCTATGTCAGTCTTGAGACCAAAAAAAAAAAAAAAAAAAATCCCAACTTCTCCAGTAGACCTGTTCTTTGCCTTGAAGGCCTTCAACTACTTAGACAATGCCCACCAACAATGTTATTGTGGGTTAGCGGCTCAACCTAAACTCAAATGCTGTGGGTGGTTGCTCTCCTCCACCAAATACCTTCCCAGCCACATGATCACACATCCGGTGCTCTGTGTCTTCGGGTCCTGTGTTGACCATTCCACCCAGTCCACATGGGAAGTACTTGAAGAACTGAGTCTTACTGAACACGGACAGATATTTTTCTGGTCTCATTCCCTAAACTACAGCAATTTCATGCAGGAGGAGACCCATGGGTCCTAGGAGGACATCCTGTCTCCTCATGGAACAGATGTAGTCACCCTTAGGTTTGGGTATCCACAGGGGTCCTGGCACCGAGCCTCAACTCCAACTCCACCCCCACTGCAAAAATAAATTAATAGGCTTAAAATATTTTTTTGAGGAAAAACACTTGCATTTCTACATTCAATATTCAGATTTTTTCTTTAATCATAAAGCAGGACTTCCTTCTTGTCTAGCTGGGCTCAGGAGACTCTGCATGCATATCCAGGGCCATGGCGGGGTGCGGGCGGGTGTGCATAATGGTGAGGGGGTGCTGCCTACGAGATGGCGTGGTGTCTTAGAATACCACAGGCCTCTTGTTAGAATACCCAGAGCCACTCGGTTGAGGAGTCTCCGTGACACACTCATCTGGGGCCCTTGTAGCCCCAGGCTCGCATCCCCCCACTGGCCGCCACTGCTCCTGAGCATCCTTGCTCTGACCCCGCCCTTGCTCTCTGCATCAATCAGGGTGATTGACGGCCGCAGCCTGGTACCGCTGCTGCGAGGAGACGTGGAGCACTCTGAGCACGAGTTCCTCTTCCACTACTGCGGGCAGTTCCTGCACGCGGCCCGCTGGCACCACAGGGAGAGTGAGTACCGCAGGTCCTGCTGCCAGGCGCCAGGGGGCGCTGGGAGATGCAGCCGGAGGAGGGAGGGGGATGGATAGATGGATGGATGGATAGACACATGGATGGATGGATGGATGGGTGGGTGGATGGATGGGTGGATGAATGGGTGGATGGGTGGATGAGTGGATGGATGGGTGGATGGGTGGATGGATGGATGGATGGATGGGTGGATGGGTGGATGGGTGGATGGATATGTGGGCAGGAAGATAGATAGATAGATAGATACATAATAGGTGGGTGGATGGATACATAGATAGATGATGAGTGGATGGGTAGATGGGTACATGTATGGATGGTTGATGGATGGAAGATGGATGGATTGATGGATAGATGGGGGAATGGTTGGATGGATGGATGAGTGGATGGATGGATGGATGGATACATGGATGGATGGTGGATGGATTAGTGGGTGGAAGGATAGATGGATGGATGAGTGGATAGATGGATGGATGGATGATAGACGGATGATGGATTGGTGGATGGATGGGGGATGGATGGTTGGATCACTAGCTAGCTAGATGATGGATGGTTGGATGGATAGATGGATGGATGGACGAGTAGATAGATGATGGTGAGTGGGTGGATAGATATTGATGGATGGATGGATGGGAGGGTGGATGGATAGATGGATGGTGGATTGGTGGATGGATGGATGGGCAGGAGGGTGAATAGATAGATGATGGGTGGATGGATGGATAGATGAATGGATGGATGGATGGATGGATGGAAGGGTGGATAGATAGATGGTGAGTGGATAGATAGATAATAATGGATGGATGGATAAATGGATGGTTGGATGGGTGAGTGGATGGATGGATGGGTGGATGGATGGGTGAGCAGGAGAATAGATAGAAAGATAGGTAGATAGATAGATAGATGATGAATAGATGGGTGGATGGGTAGATGGATAGGTAGATAGACAGATGCTATGTGGATGGATAGACATAGAGATGGATCTAAAGAATAGGTATATGCACAGCTGATCTAGGGGGGTCCCCTGCTTTTGTCTAGTTATTTTGATGTACACGCTAATCTCATCTGAAAACCTGCGTTCAGAGGGACATCCCGACTCCCATCAGGATGATTGAGAGATGCACAGATACACAGATGCTCCGTGGAAAGATTGCTAGGTGATAGATAAGGAGAGATGATTGACCATCCAACAGAGATACACAGATGCGCAGACGGGTGGTGATGATTGACAGATGGGTGCAGAGAGTCGGACATACAGATAGATAGAATGGGTGGGTGTAGATGATAGATAATTAGCAGAAATTAGGAAGGTAAAGAGACAGAGTAGAAAAATAGATGATAGATTATGGGTGGACAGACAGCCAGACCTAGATGACTGATAAATGCACCGAGATTATATATATATATATATTAGTCTGTCAACCATCCACACCCCCCACCATGTCTATACATATATCACCTGTCCTGAGCGGATCCCACCCCTGTGACCGTCTATCTGTCCATCCCCAAGTCCCTCTGCCACATACCCTGTCCGCCGGGGGCATGCCCATAGACACTGGTGACCTGGACAGGGATGTGGGGCGCAGGGCCACCCTGAGCCGCTCCACTGTCGCCACTATGCCCACAGGTGGGAGGCTCTGGAAGGTCCACTACATGACACCGAGGTTCCAGCCCGTGGGCTCGGGCACCTGTGGGGACCAGCATCTGTGTCCCTGCTCCGGGGACGGCGTCACACAGCACAGCCCGCCCCTGCTCTTCGACCTCTCCAGCGACCCTTCCGAGGCCTGGCCACTGTCCCCCGACTTGGAACCGCTGTTCCACGCCGTGGTCCAGCACGTGGGCGAGGCCGTGGCGCGGCACCGGGGGACCCTGCGCCCTGTCCCGCAGCAGCTGACCCTGGGCAACGTCCTGTGGAAGCCCTGGCTGCAGCCCTGCTGTGGCACCTTCCCCTTCTGCTCCTGCAGAAGCGACGATGGGGACAGCTCCTCCCAAGAGCCAGCACCATGAGAAGGTGTCCCAGGGCGACCAGGGGACAGCATCTCCAAGGAGACCCCTCCCCCAGTTCCCCCCTTGAGGACCCTGCGGGAGTGGGTCACTGAGCCATCTTGCTCTGAGAGGATTCCAGGGACCACCCCTCTCCTGACCCTGGGGTCTCACAGGGGCTGACCTCCTGTCCTCTCAGCTGCCAATCACCACAGAGCCGCCTTGGGAACACCCAGCCTGACCACAGGCCAGGCAAACGGGTCTGCACCCAGTCCACTTTGACTGGCCCACGTAAAGATCCTGTTCTGTGCTTCGGAATCAGTGATGGCTGAGGATTGACCCTCATGGCCACCTCTTGGGGTCACTGTCTTGGTACCCTTGCTGTGTGACTTAGAAATTGCCTCCAGGCTATCCACAAAAGTCCCAGAGAATAAGAAAACTTTCAACAAGGTTGCAGGATATTGTCTTCCAGGAAATGGGAAGCCCAACTTCCTGCTGTACTGCCCTAACTATGGGAGAGTGGGCCTCATGGTGTCAGGAGGGTTGCTGCAGCTCTGGCCCTCCCATACCCAATCCAGGCAATAGGATAGAGCCAGAACTAAGAGGCCTCCTCTCCTCCTAGTCTGTCCCTGTGAAGGATAATTATCACAGAACTCACAGCTTTTGGCTTTCAGGTCTCTGTAGAGAGAACCAGAAATTGAGAAATACCTGGCTCTCATGAAGCGAGAGTAAGTCTCTGCGGCGTATAAATGAGAACAGCTTCCTTGAGTGGGCCGAGGTTTTTGATGTATCACTAAAACTGCCAGAAGAAACACCCTTTATCTCATCGTGCTGGGAAGCACACGCAAATACCAGTACCTGTTATTAGCAAGTGATCATGCATTCCTATTCTGTCTCTAGCCTCCAACTTGAAGGTGGATCCAACCAAGGAGCCACTGTGATACCCAGCCCTGGAAGCTTCTGTCATCCAGAGATCAGGGGGGCAGAGCGTCTTCCTGGGCCAGGGTCCCAGACAAGGGCTGAGGGTTCTGCTAACCAGGCAGCTGACCCTCCCTGCCCTGGCTCTTAAAGTCCTTGGAGGGAAATGAATTATAGGTAGAGGTTTTTGTTGTGGTTCAGATCCAGAATGTCCTTCAAAGGCTCTTGTGTTGACAGTGTGGTCCCCAGGGCAAGAGTGCAGAGGTAGGCTTTGGGGAGGTGATTGGATCTCGAAGCTCTGAGCTCATCAGTGGGTTAGTCCATTGAGGGCTGACCGGGTGACTGGGAGGTGGTAGGACATGGAGCCTACTTGGAGGAAATGCTTCCTTGGGGGTGTGGCCTTGGGGACTATATCCTGTCCCTGGCTTTTCTTCCCCCCTCTCTCCTTCCTGCTGCCCTGCCCTAAGCTGAGTTCCTCCTCCACACCCTTCCGCCATGATGGTCTGCCTTACTTCACACCCAGAGCCCTGAGCCAGACAACTACGGACAGAGATCTGTGAAACTGTGAACCAAAATAAATCTAAGTTGCTTGGCTCAGGTATTTTGTCACAGCAACAAAGAACTGAAGAACGCATTATTCTTGTGCCTGACCCCTTCTCTCTCCAACCCCCGGCTTCCTGGCTGCCCTGTCCTGAGCTGCTCTCCTCTTCCAGGCAGTTCCACCATTTTGTTCTGTTCCCCCTGGGCCAGAGCCATGGAGTCGGCCAACCATGGACCAAAACTCGGACACCAGGAGCCAAAATAAACCTTTCTTCCTCTCAATTGGTCTCGCCAGTTCTCTTGTCACAGTGATGGAAAGTTAAGCCAAGTTCTTTGCTGGCTGGATTTAACCTGCAGCCACGGGGAATGTGAGCCAAGGGAGGTGGTGCATAGAGTTCAGGCTTCAGAGTCCAACCGGGAGAACATCTAGAGGAACAGGGAAGTCCCAACACAAACTAAAAGGGACAAAATTGCAACTGTCATGGATCATGGTCTGCAAGAGCTACCTCATCTTTTACGTGATTTAGGTTGGTTTTGGATAAAACCACTCCATCAAACTGGAAAACATTCAAATTGATGCTGTTGTAGTCAGATCTTACCACATGGTGACCACAAGTCTCAACAAGAATAACTTAGAGGAGGAAAAGTGTATTTGGGGATCATGGTGTCCAAGGTTCAGTCCATGGTTCTGGCCCAAGGGGAGGCAAAAACAATGGATACAGAGGATACAAGGCCATTTCTCAGGACTCTGAAATTCTGACAGATTCTCCCTGGGTGGTTTCATTTGTTCCTGTAGTCCACGTTCAAAATTCTTCTCCGACGTACACCCCCTGACTTTGAGTAACTTACCAGATTTTGCCATTTATTCATGGAGAGAAAATGAATTGACAAATTCTCCTCTTTTGGAAATCCTAGATGGCAGTCATGAACTCACTGCTTAAATGATTAGAGAGAACTAGAGGAGACTGGGAACAAGAACGTCTTAAATGAGAGAAGAGTATGTTCTTTCCTAGATAATATGGGCTCTACCATTTTTAACAGGTAAAGTTGGCTTCATGGTCTCAAGATGACTGCCACAGCATGACACATCTCATACACATTCCAGCAGCAGGAAGGCAGAAGGGTAACTGCAGGATGCCAGGCAGTTGTTGAGTCCACTCCTGAAGAGGAAACCTTGAGTCATTTTGACTCCATTGGGCAGCTATTGATCTATATTTCTGGACCTTTTATAGGTTATAATATGGTACACATTATAAAATCAGCTATCCCACCACTTTCCAAGGGAGCCCATCATGAAGGGGAGCCTGATCCCTCCTCTTTCTCACTTCTGGGATGAGCAATGAAATGAATCCCGAATCGGAGCATTTCACAAAAAAAAAAAAAAAAATTATTCAGGAATTTTCAAAACTCAATCTCATGAAAAAAATCGCAATTTAAATGTATTTTTAGCGAATATGTACAAACATAAAAATTGTATATATTTATGGGGTACCAGGAGATGTTCCGCTACATGAGTACATTGCATAATGTTTAAATCTGGGTAAACAGCTATCTTTCTATATGTCTATCATTTCTTTATGATGAAAGCATGCAAATTCCTTCTCACTTTTCCAAATGTGCCAGACATTATTGTTATTAACAGTCATGCTAAGGTGCAATAGTACATCATGAAGTTACTGCTAATTAACAATAAGTTGATACTCACTGATCAACCTTTCTCCATCAAAATATCAAAACAAAAGAAAAGCAAAATAACTTCCCCACACACAGGAACAAAAATTTCTTAAAGCAGTGAAAGATCTCTGTAATGAAAAACTGTAAAACATTGAGGAAAGAAACGGGAGACAGAGTCATACACAAAAAAAGACATCCCATGTTCATGGATAGGAAGACTCAATATTGTTAAAATACCCATACTACCCCAAGCCAGGTACAAATTCAATGCAATTTCTATCAAAATACTGATGAACTAGAGAAAACAATCCTAAAATTCCTAGGAGTCAAAAAAAAAAAATCCCAAAAGAGGCAAAGGTGTTTTGAACAAAAAGAATGAAGTAGGAGGCATTCTACGCACCGACTTAAAAATACACAACATTGGGGCTGGGGCTGGGGCTCAACACATGGAGACACTGGGTTTGGTCCTCAGCACCACATAAAAATAAAAAAAAATGAAATAAAGGTCTTGGGTTTAACAACAAGAAAAAAATATTTTAAAAAATACACAACAAAGTGGCAGTCATCAAAACAGCATGGTAGTGGCATACATTCAGGAGCACAGAGCAAGGAAACAGAAAATAAAAATTTTAACTGGATCCTACAGCCATTTTTTTCAACAATGACACTATGTCACCATTTGACTAGATCATTCAGTGGTGGGGTCCTTCCTGGGCAGTATAGGATATTGAGCCACATCTCAGCTTCAACCCATTGAGGCCATTAGCTCTTCTCTGCCAGGTGTGACACTCAACATCAGTCCCCTGTAGACTCCTAGGGTCTGAATGTGTCCCCCAGTGTCAGGTGCTGGTAATTGAATCCACAATACAAGTGTTCAGAGTGTGGACTTTGGGGAGGTGTTGAGGTCCATTATGAATGGGTGAATGCAATTTGAAAAGATTTTTCTGGGAGGGAGTTTGGTTTCTCTTGGCCCTTCTGTTCCTCCCCTCTGGTAGATGTGACAACAAATTCCCATGTTGGACCTAGACAACAGCCCTCACCAGACACTGAGCCAGGTGACACTGTCACCTTGGACTTCCCAGCAGACTTGAGTCACTGTCTGCATTGGTGATGTGCGTTGGAGAGCAAGGCTTGGCAGACATCTGGAGAGCTTAAATATGGAATAGGAGCGAGGAATAATTATATTTATTATTTCTAGGTGAGGTAACAGTGAAGCAGTTATGCAGAAGGATCTCCTAATTCCTAGGAGTTGCAGGTTGAAAATCTTCAGAGCAGAAGAATCACAAGTTATTTTGAAATGGCTCCACAAAAAATATATATATATAACAAAGAAACATGTCAGGCTAACATGATAAAATGCTAGCCCATTGTTGAGTTTAAGGGCAGTGCAGAACGGTATTCTTTTTTCTTCTTTAAACTTTTCTGTATTTTGTTTAATTTCTTCCATAAAAATAGAAATAAATCAAAGTAGAAATGAATGAGCATATCAATTATCATCTCAAAGGTCTGTAAAATTAGACCTTATTATGTAGTTTTTAAATTTTTTCTGATGAGACCAAAAGACCTGACAAGAACAAATTTAGAGGAGAAGTTGATTTGGGGCTCATGGCTTCTGAGGTTCAGTCCATGGTTGGCCAACTCCATGGCTCTGGCCCAAGGGGAGGCAGAACAAGATGGCAGAAGGGCGTGGAGGAGGAGAGCAGCTCAGGACAGGGCACCAAGGAGCAGAGAGAGCTCTGTTCACCAGGGACAGGATAGAAACCCCAAAGGCACAGCCCAGGGACCCCCTCCTCCAGCCACACCCCACCTGCTACAGTACCATCCAGTCAGTCCATTCAAGTGGATTAATCCACTGATTGGATTATAGCTCTCACTATCCAATCATTTCACCTCTGAACATTCTTGCAGTGTCTCATTTATGAGCTTTGAGGGACATCTCATGACTATACCATAACACTATTCATGGAGGATCCATTCCAAGAACCCAAAGATAAAATCTGCAGGTGCTCAATCTTTTATATAAAAGGTTATTACATTTGCATAGAAGCTCCACACATTAAACTTCACACAGTATATGTCTCTAGATGACTTATAATACCTAATACAGAGGAAAATCTCTCTAAATAGTTACTATTTTGCATCGTTTAACAATAATGACAAAAAATCTGCATATTTTCAATATGGATATAATTTTCTAATTAAATATCTTCCATCCGTGGTTGGTTGAATCTAGTGATGCAGAATCCACAAGATGAAGGGCCAATACTTCAAATTCATCAAAGATACCATTGAGAGAAAGAGAGAGAGAAAGACAAGCCCCAGATTGGGAAGAGGTATTCCCTCTGCACATAACCAACAAAGGACTAGTATATACTGTACATAAAGAAAGGCTATAAAGGAATTAGAAACCAGACCAGCCACAGAGAAATAAGGGGAGCATTCAACAGAGACCACAAGAAAATTTGCAAATTTAAATTTGAATGAGGCACAACTACCTATCCTCTAGAATATCTTACGCTGCAAGAATGGATGAGGTCCAGTACCTAGAGGGGACGTGGAATGCCCTCAATGTCACCATGTTGCTGGTGGAGTGCAAATTGCTTTGACCACTTTAGCAGTAGCTATTGAAGGAGATTACTATTATTTTAAAGATCTACCATTTGGGATGCAATGGGCGTTCTGAAGGAACCAGAAGCCACTCTGACAACAGACAAGGATTTCATGGTAGCATCATTTATAAGTGTCCCAAACAAGTACTCATCAATGAGAGAAAGCACATGTAGTTTAGATGCCAATCAATGGGTGAACAGTCAAAGGAGATGGGGTACCTATATACCATGGAATATTATGCAGCTATAAAAAAGAGGGAGACCCCATCATTTGCAGCCACATGGTGAAAGTGGAGGACATCATATTTCTGTGAAATAAGCCAGGCACAGAAAGAGAAGTACTGCATGTTTGGGGTTAGCACGTGCCATGCATATGCATGTATGAAAACATCTTGCTGAATCCCATGAAGATGTATAGTTAACAGGTGCAACATAGGAAAATACTCCAGAAAAGCAAACCAGAAAGGATTAATAAAATGTGGGAGATTCATACATTAGAATATGGCACCATAATAAAAAAAATTGCCATATAAAGCTAGGCATGAAATTCCTCCATTTTCATGAAATTCCAGAGTCGGGCAAGATCAGTCAATGATGTTAGAGTGCAGGAGATTGGTTCCCTTTGCGGGAGAGGGACTCGGGAGATTTGGGAGGGATGCTTTGTGATTTGTACCCACCATGCCCCAGGGCAAATGTCAGTCCTTTGAATTTCTAGCTTGAGAGATTCGGTTTTAAGATCAAGCTGCCTCCATTTCCCTGTCTTTGTGGTGCTGAGGATTAAATGCAGGGGGGCTGGGGAGGTGGAGAGGCTTGTGGGAAGCTGGTGGTGGCAGTTGGGCTCTGAGGGTTTTTCCTGAGGAGCTGTTTTGCTTGGTGTGTGTGGTTCTAAAAATAAAGTTCGTTTCTTTTGACAAGTGGCTCCCGGATTGTGCCCAGCCAGACTGCGGCATATAGAGGTGACTCCATAACCGTGCCATGAAGGAACAAATAAATGTAATTGAGAACACAGAGCCCCGAATCCAAAAGCTCCTCTAAGAAAAACCTTAAAAGACTTCAGAGGGACCCGAAGTAAAGATGCTTGGCATTTTGCCACCACCAGGGACTCTGAAAAATCCACCGGACCACTCGAATGTGTCCTGGGAGCCAGGCAGCCACCACCCCTCCGGCTGTGCCCTCTAAAACACGATCCCCATGGCTCAGAACCTTGCAGGCACACTTAAGAGGAGACGCCGTGGCTTTGTAAGACTTTAATTCAAATCCATCAGCGCTCTTCCAAGGAGGTTGACTGGCGCGCACCGGGGTGCAGTCGCATTCTGGATGGAGCTAGAATCCTGAAAGCCCACCGCTAAACCGTTGCCACGGATTCCCATTTCCAGAGATGCACACTCCTTGACGAATATGAGTTTTCTGGAATACCGTCCATCTGGTTTGCTCCACGGAGGCTTCTGGTTTCACAGCACCAACGCTCTTTGGTTCTGTGATATATTCACGATTTTGCTTGGATGGGGATCATCGGCCGACGCCTCCGTCAACACCATGAGCTCACCCCAACGGCTCTCCCTGAAGGGTCAACCTGCTTTGAGTGACAGAGGCTGGCCAGACAGACAAACAGACAGACACCATAAAACACTGTTCTCAGCATGTCCCAGCCCACCCTCTGCATTTCCACAGTACGTGCAGGACAAAGGACCCCGCCAAGTGTCCACAACACCCCTTGCCTCTCTCCTGTTGGAGAGGGATCCCCTAGAACCCAATCCCCCATCACGGCCACCCAGTGACCCACGCAGCCCTTCGCATCGGTGCCAGTGATGAGGATAGGTGTGAAATGGTGGTTTGGAATTGGAAGCTGCTGTCCAGCCCCAGGACACTGAGCGTGGTCCCAGAGGAGCCCGGAGGAGCCCGGAGGAGCCCAGAGGAAATGGCTTTGGAGAGTGATCACCGAAAGTACTTGGCACTGAGGTAGAGATGCAGAGACCGAGGGAGGACTGCTCAGAGGTCACCCACCGCTTGCTGATGTCATGGCTTAGCAAAAAGCATCTATCTCTAGTTTCTGTTCGTGCAGATCAAGCTGCCACCCCGCCGAGTGACAGTCTTCATTTTTTTTCCCCTTGTGGTACCTGGGATGGAAGTCAGGGGCTCTCGACCCCTGAGCCCCGTCCCCAAGCCCCATTTTGCATTTTATTTAGAGACAGGGTCTCACCGAGTGGCTTAGGGCCTCCCTTTGGCGGAGGCTGGCTTTGAACTCGAGATCCTCCTGCCTCAGCCTCCCGAGCTGCTGGGATGACAGGCTCAGAGGTACGGAATAGGCAGTCGAAGGTTATGAGGTTAATCAGATAATTAAGATAATGCATAATTAGATAATTAAGATAGGCACCCAAGTGGAACTCCACAAAGGCTGGACAGGCAGCACTGAGGCTACACGGCACTGGAGAACTCTTTCCAGGAAGACCAGAGACCAGCATCCGGGGTCCACTAGGGCTATAGGCTTGTTCTCTTTTGCTGACAAAGGGAAGGATTGACCTCTCAGGAAAGCTGGAGAGACAGGGGGCAGCCAGGGTGGCTGGGAGCTGGACCTTTAGCATCTACATAACTCGGGGCAGGCACTGGAGTTGGTGAATCATAAATAGAGGCACAGAGTTCCCCTCGGGAGGGGTCAGCGGTGGCCGCCACACACGCGCATCAGTGCAGGAAGCGGTCCAGCTTCTCCTGAATGCGCGAGAAGGCGTCCTTCCCCATGTAGTCGATGCGACCTTCCTCCCACTTCTTCCTCTCCTCCTCGGGGCTGGGCTCCTTGGGCTTCTCCTGGATGGACATCTTGGAGACCGAGGCGGCCACATGGACCTGGGGGACACAAGCAACCGCACCAGGTCACCAGCTGTCAGTCAAGCAGCCACAGAGGCTGCACCATCCACGGGCTCAGCCCTCTCTTCTGCAAGGTGGCGCGTCTCGGGCTCCAAACTAAACCCACGCCGGATGTCATGCAATCTGGCAAGGTGACACTCTGCCTAGCTGGTCCGTGGTGCTGGAAACCACGACTGTGTTCCTGTTTGCTTTCCCCCAAGAATGAATCCCTAACCACTAAACCCCACTCCCCACCCGCACTCGTTAGGTTGAATACTTTCACCTGCAAAGACCTCAATGCTCCTGCGTCATCTTTAAAAAAAAAATCAAGCAAAGATGAAGAAAAATGTCACCACTTGTAAATAACATTTGCAATGCTTTACACAGCTAGGGAGGATCACCGAAATAGTCACATACAGAATTAACTTCAATTTGCTCCCCAGGACGGCAGGTTCTATTTTCCTAGTGGGTAGGTGGATGCATATCCACGCACAAGTGTGTAAACGCAAACACACGCATCTCACTTCTATTTGGTGCTCAGGTGGATCAAAAAGAACCCGCGCTTTAACCTCTTCTCACAGGACTAGAATGAGAGTTTTAAAAGTCTGCACGTGGTGCTCATAAAGGACATGCATGCGTATCATCTGTGTCTTTATCCACGTAGACGGACACATGGATGGACAAAAAGATCAATAAAAGGATAGATACCACAGAGATGGATAGATATGAGGGGATGGATGGGCGGATGGGTGGAAGAGTGGGTGGATGGGTGGATGGATGGATGGATGGGAGGGTGGATGGGTGGATGGATGGATGGATGGTTGGATGCATGGATGGGTGGATGGATGGATGGATGGATGGGTGGATGGATGGAAGGGAGGGTGGATGGGTGGATGGATGGGTGGGTGGATGGATGGATGGATGGATGGATGGATGGATGGATGGATGGGTGGGTGGGTGGGTGGATGG